GTCACCTCTCTCTCACCCAAGTAGCACCTGGGCACGTGAGTGAGATCCTGGCAATGGACATGGAAAGGGTTAAACCTGAAAATCCTGAGCTAAAAAAAAATATTAATATATTTATTTTCTAACGGACTAACGTTTTCTACTTCAAAATTTGCTTATTTTATTTCAAACTTTAATATATTTGTATTATTATTATTATTTTAAGAAAAAATAAGAAATTTATTTATATCAATTAATGATAAATTTATAATGAAAATTAATAATAAGAAATTGACTTTAAATAGAATATTAATAAAATAACCTCAGGCGATCTCTTCATCAAAGCATGTTTTTAAAAATACAAAATTAACGTTCAAAATTTCTTGCTCTGATTTAGAAATCTACCTGTCGCGAAGTATCTTCTTGCACATAATATTTCATACATTCTTTTACGTTGAAAATAAAATATCTATTTATTTTTATATTTTTATAATTACTTTTATATTTCAAATCATTCTTAAGTTAATAATAAAACATCAAATATTGAAATATTACGAAGATAGAAAATAAAATATACAATTGTTTATATTAATAAACGATAATGTATTATTAATAATATTGTACAGTAATTGATATTTCTATTATAACGAAGTCGGAGGACATCCGATTTCTTTACTAAAAGAGATTTAACTGAAATCATTTCAACATTATTTCATTCTCATTTATTCGAATATTAATTTTTCTTTCAGAAATACACATTTACATGGTTCTTTAATTATTTATATCATTTATAATAACTAGATGTATTATATTATATTAATTATATTAATGTTTATATTTAATATAAAATTAACTATCAATATCATTTTAAAAACGCAACGTGCAAGAAGATCTATCCTGATCTAACAAATAAAATACAAGAAAAAGAAATGTTACTATTCACAGGTATAATTAATACCTGCGGTCATTGTGCTCGTGCAAAAATCTACGTATACAACCAGTCACTCGTGTCGATTCGGACCTTTTATCCTACAACATGATTGAGTGACCGGAGGAACATAAATGCATGCGACTCACCAACAGATGCGAAGAATCTGCATTGTCGTGGCCAAAGATGTCAACTGTAATCAAACATGAAACACTATCATTAAAATTCTGATTATTTGAAAAAGTTGAAGCGGGTAGAAAATATATAAAAATAATTACCTCTTCGCGTGATGGATGACCGCCCGATTCCTCAAGGAACACTGATTTTACCCTGTACCGAAAAACGAATGTTCAAAAGTATAAAAAAATAAAAATAAAGAACTACTAACGCGTCGATTTCAAATAAAGGCGGCGAACAAACACTGACTCTAATTTCGCGAATAATTATAGTAATTTAATTAGAGCTATTGTGCTCTAAATATAAATTAGAAAACTATAACGAAGCAAACACTGAATTTACCGATCGCATTGCGCGCGATCACAAATATTGTTTTAAACTAAAGTCCATGAGAAATGAAGATCTTCTGGCATCTTTAACAAAATATATAATATTACATGTAATTACGAATTTAAAAGAACATTGATAATATAATAATATTGAATTATTGAAAGTTAAAAAAAAAATGTCTTTTAATATGAATAAATAATTACCTCTTCGCGTGATGGATGACCGCCCTATTCCTCAAGGAACACTGATTTTACCCTGTACCGAAAAACGAATGTTCAAAAGTATAAAAAAAATAAAAATAAAAAACTACTAACGCGTCGATTTCAAATAAAGGCGGCGAACAAACACTGACTCTAATTTCGCGAATAATTATAGTAATTTAATTAGAGCTATTGTGCTCTAAATATAAATTAGAAAACTATAACGAAGCAAACACTGAATTTACCGATCGCATTGCGCGCGATCACAAAAATTCTCTGGAAATAAAGTTATATTAGTGGGGGAGGGGGGAGGGAAGAATCTATAGAAGAAGAAGCAAAATGTTTTTTCTTTTTTTCTATCGAACATTTGTTTCACGAAAAATTATGCTCTTTTATTGAAACTACGAATCGATTATTGTCAATTTTTTATGAATAAAAGAATTTAGAATATATATCATTAATGCAAAAC